TCTAATGACCCATAGATAACTTGTTTTAGTAAATGAAGGGAATTTACAATAGTCTTAGTTGTTGAGAGCCTTTTGAAAATGTTACAACATTCTTCCAGATAATTTGCAACATCCTGAAGTGTTGCAGGGCTGGAGCTGAAAATTGTTGCCCTAAACATTTGTTTGCCTTTTGGTGACCAAGTAGTATTCTTTGTCAAAGGGTTTGCATAAATCATTTCTTCTCCGTGCAACAACCCCTGCAAGGTAAATGTTGGAATCTTCATTTCATAGATAAAGAAATTAAGGATTAGGAAATCACATAGATAGAATGAGTTGGAACAGAAATTCAAGCCCAGGGAAGCCTGACCCCACGTCTATGCTCCTTCCTCTGCACAGCATGGTCCTGAGGCAAATGAGGATAATGGTTCTTGAGCATGGCTGAGAGCATCTCCCTGCTTTAAGGGTGAAGGGCTGTAGCAGAGATATTTATCATTCTTTGAATATCCCTGTGCCCTTCTCATTTCCCTGTCCCCCTTGCCATTAGATAGTCTGTAAGACTAGTTCTTGTCGAAAGGCTATGAATAGAATTATGGCATCGCTTCTAGGCAAAGCAAGGTTCTTTAGGTTCTTTCTTCCCCTGACGTGGCAATGGGGAGAGATCTCAGAACATCTCTCCTGGGGTTCTGAATAACTATGTCTAGAAATAGACTCTTATGTTAAATCACTAGATTTTAGGGTTGTCACTGCAGAATAGCTTAGTCTATTCTGACTAATTCAAGTATTTTCATTACAATAAGAACACAGGAGAGGGCCAACCACGATGGCTCAGCCTGTAATCCCAGCACTCTGGGAGGCCAAGGATTGCTTGAGCTCAGGAGTTGGAGACCAGCCTGAGCAAGAGCAAAACCCCCTTCTCTGAAAATTGCCCGGTATTGTGGTGGGCACCTGTCATCCCAGCTACTCAGGAGGCTGAGGCAAAAGGATTGCTTGAGCCCAAGAGTTAGAGGTTGCTATGAGCTATGATACTACAGCATTCTACTGAGGGTGACAAAATGAGATTTTTGTCTTCATTAAAATAAATTTTAAAAAGAACATAGGAGAAAGTTTCATCTAGTTTAATAAAATAATGCTTAATTTTAGGGGCAAGCTCCTTAATAACTCCTATCCCTCCTACCTTGGATTCTGAGTCATATGAAATGTCGAATAACCTGCAACAAATTTATGTTTTTCCATTTGCATAGACTTACCATATATTGACAACTTGTCTTTGAGGAAATAGATCAGCAATAGTGCAACCCAGAATAAGATTAATTTGTCTTGTTTTATTCTCAAAATCCAAATTATGCTTAATCTCATGCCAGAGACTAAAGAGGACAAAAATTGATATGTTAGTCCCACTTTTCTTAACCCTCAGGTAATCTTTTCTCAAGAGACTGTCTTGACTGAAGGAAGTTGCACGCGGATATCAAACGTCTGACAATGGCCAAGAACAAATTCAGAGGGCAGAAGTCCAGGAATGTATTTCACATAGCCAGCCAAAAAAACTTTAAGGCTAAAAACAAAGCAAAACCAGTTACCACTAATCTTAAGAAGATAAATATTATGAATGATGAAAAAGTTAACAGAGTGAATAAAGCTTTTATAAATATACAAAAGGAACTTGCACACTTCTCAAAAGGCCTTTCTCTTGAACCTGTGCAGAAAGAATTGATTCCTCAGCGACGTCATGAAAGTGAACCAGTTAACGTTGATGAAGCTACAAAATTAATGGCTCTGTTGTAATACAGTGGCGATGCATCTACTTCCCCAAAAAGACCAATAAATTAAATATTTTATACAAAAAAAAAAAGAGACTGTCTTTGCAACATCAAGGTTGTAATACAGCAAACAAGTTTTATCCTGGGTCCTTTTTCATACCTACTGCTGGAAAACATGGAAGAAATTATTGTGAATTTGCAAAAAAAAAAACAAAAAAAAAGAGTTCTCAGAATATGTTTTATATATGCACACACACTTTTTTATACATAAAGAAAAAAAATGAAGGTCTCGCCAACAAATTCCTAAGTTAATTCATTTAACTCATGAATTATTTTTCCTTATTTGACTCTCGATAGCAATAATTTTAGCCTCTGCTTAAGTTCTAGTTAGTAATAATAATCTACATTTTTGTGTTACCTTATAGTTTACAAAACATTCTTACCCGAGTCTTGTCTAATCATCACAGCCACTCTGTGAGACAGTAACACCAACATTATATATGATTTGCAACTGGAGATATTAAAGTTCAGAAAATGTAAGCGATTCGTCCAAGGTCTCACAGCTAGTAAGAAAGGTCCCTTCTCCCATCACTCTGCCTTTTGGCCCTAAGTAAGGACTGCCAAGTATCCTCAGCCTTGTGGAGGACAATTATTCAGCTTTTCATCTTATTGGTGATTGCTGTATGACAGGAGAAGTGGCAATAGGAGATGAAAAGTTAAATAATCTCACACAAATATCAATTGTTTCCCTCGAGTATTTTTAGGAATGGTCAAAATTGAGTTCTCTAACTTACCTGAAGTATAGTGGCATCACGTAATAATGGTTACGCTCCCATAAGAAACTTTTTCTGTCTTGGCTCGGCGCCTATAGCTCAACCGGC